TTCCTTTTCTGTGGTACAGTACTTTTTTTCAGTTTCTGTAAACTTCTTACTGAGGTATAATACTGGATGTTCATTGTCTCGTTCATCCTTTTGAGCTCAAATGACACCCATACCAGAGTCCGAAACATCAATTTGCAAAACGAACTCCTTATTGAAATCAGGTGAGTGTAATAGAGGCTTTTGCGGCAGTTTTACTACTTCAACAACTCGCTCTTGTCTGTTTGAAAACTTCTCCTTGACTTGTATATCAACTCCAGAACTTGGCAATTCATCTAGAGCTTTTGACTGAGAATCGTTTAATTTTGTCAGTTCTTTCTTTTCAGATAGTTTTTGCTTGTTGCGAGATGAAGCCTTCTGTTACTTATCTGTTACTTTTGCATTCTCATTGAATGTGGCAACTTTGAGTATCCTTTATCATGTTTATGGCCTCTTTTTGCTAAGTTTTCTGACGCGAGCTTAGATTCTGAATGTATTTTTAATTTCTCAGCTTTAGAAGTACCTTCATGAGTTCTTTTATAAGAAGTTCTTTGATCTGCTGTTAACAAACTGTCAAAACACATCTTTACTTTTTGGAGAAGAAAGGAACTGGGGAACTTGTAGAGGAATAATCACACACACAACTATCCATAGAAGATGAATCACCTAAGGTAAATAAGGCAAGTCAACTTCCATATAAATAACTTCAGTTTTCTCATGAAGAGAGGAACGCTTAGACTGTTTGTCAGATTTCTCTGAAGCATTGACAGAGACTTGACTCTTAGGAGGGTGCGTATTGACCAAATTATTTTGAGTTTCAGCAGTATTAGTTGTTTGGTTCTGCATCAAAGTTGTGTAGTTCTGCATTTGATCGCTATATTTTTCAGGAATAACAATTAATTCCCTTTCATTTCCATTTTTATCTATTTTCCTTTTACCAACAATCCATTTTCTTTTACTTTGAAATCATTTGTCTTGCTGGAATTTTCATTTTTAGCTTCGTTAAGCAATAACGCTAGATCTCTGCTTTGATGCTGAGATTCAATTAATTCCTTTGAATTAACATTAATCACTTTCTTAAGTTCCTTGTCTTCCTCATCAGCTTGAGGTAAAATATCTTCATCAGTCTCAATAACAGACAGTGCTTCTGGTTTCCCAATTTCAGTGCCTCTACTTCGATCTTCTTCACGAGATTGTTTTACTTGAGATCGTGTCAAAACCGCATTTATTTCTTTTCTAAATTTAAAAATTGTTTCTTTTTGAACAACTGGAGCAGTTTTGTTACCCAATACGTATCTGTCCAGGATCATTTGTAACAACAGCTGCCTTTGTTTGTTATATGACCAAATTCACAATTAATTTCAACTTCCAGCTAACGGTAGACACACTAAATGGTCATTTAAAAGATATTGTTACCCAGACATGTTCTCCAAGTCATTTTTGCGTTATCTATGTATTTTCGAGAAATAAATATGAACTGTGGCTCCTGTGTCTCGAAGAATAGGCATTTCATACCATATTAACTAAACCGTTAATTTGTATATGTCTTTAACAAATCATCATTCGAAAATACGCAATTTATCTTTTCATTTGGTTTTAAGCAAGGGCACTGAGGCTTAAAATGTTCGTATGACCCACACTCGAAACAGCATGGTCGATATCTTTTGTCATATAAAATTTCTTGGTTCTTGTTTTGAAATTGATTTTTTTGTCTTGATCTTTCTGGTATTTTGAATCATCCCATTTATCAGAATGCTTAAAATGAGGCGGATGCTGTATTGTTTTCGCAAAATTATTGGAACGAGGTTTAAATGATCCTTTGTTAAATCTCTCAGTTTGACTGGCAGAAAATTTCGGTTTTATTGTTTTTCTGACATCTTCAAAATTTTCAATTTTCTTAACCATCTCAGTAGGTGAAATTATGGTTGTCCATTGATCCATAAAATGTTCTTTGAAATCAGGAGAAGTATGCTTTTTTATTTGATCAACCAGCATGAGATCTTTTAGCTGTTCAAAAGTTTTAATGTTTAATCCGTTAAGCCATCCTTCTAAATAATTCTTTAATTCATAGTAGAAATCATAGCAAGTACTTTCAGTAGATTTTTGGTGTTTATTAAATAGTTGTCGAAATTTTTCCGCACTTAATTTAAATCGTTGTAACAGTAAAGTTTTTACATATTCATACTTTTTCGCGTCCTCTTCTCGTTCTCTAGCAATAAGCTGAACAATGTCGGGAGGCAGTAATGAAATAAGTTGAGTCACTTGATTTTCAGCAGGTATATTCATTATTTTAGCTTGACGCTCAAATAACACCAGAAATAAACTTATTTCATCTTCTTTAGGGTTGAAACATGGCATGACATCGTGAATTCTGATTTTTAAAGGCTGCTCAGGTAACTGCGTAGTTTCTACCGGCTGTGCTGTTGCAGCCATTGCTTCCAACTGAAGTTTCTGTAGCTCAAAGGCTCTAATTCGCTCTTCTCTTTCACGCTCTTCTTTCTTCTTTCTTCTTCTCTTTTGTGTTCTCTCTTCTTTCTCTTTGCTCTTCTCTTTCACGCTCTTCTTTTCTTTCTTCTCTTTTGCGTTCCTTTTCTCTTTCTTCCCGTTCGCATTCTTCTTCTCTTTCTTCCCTTTCGCATTCTTCTTCTCTTTCTTCCCTTTCGCGTTCCTTTTCTCTTTCTTCCCTTTTGCGTTCTTCTCTTCTTTCTCTTTCATGTTCTTCTTTTCTTTCTTCTCTTTCACGCTGTTTTTCTCTTTCTTCTCTTCCTTTCTTTCCCTTTCTTCTCTTCCTTTCTTTCCCTTTCTTCTCTAATTGCAGCCAGTAGTTCTCGAGTAATCTCCTCATCATAATCGAGACTTTCAGTAATCAATTTATGCAACTGAGCAATCTTAAATTCAGCTTTTCACGGTTAAAAACCTAACTCTTCTGCTAGTACTTTTAAATCCTGTTTTTTTACTTTCCTAGCTAAAGAATGACATGTTGACACAAGTTACCTTTAATAGGCTTCCTTTTGAAATACAATTTAAAAGCTCGTACTTTTATCAAAAATATATAATTTTTGGAGAGACTTAATTTCTCAAATACGCAATTCACACTAACCAATTGGAGAGAATTATTTAAACAACTTTGCCAGGTTGGCACAAAATAATTTAATACTATGTCGGGTTGACGTTTTAACTCACTATTCACAAGCCTCGTTAGCTATAACTATGTAAACACCTTTGCCAGTTAGGCAATAAAATGGAATTTTACCAACGTCAGTTTGACGATTTTACTATCTATCTCCACGCCTGGTTGGTGATAACAAAAACAATTTTTGCCAATTTGGCAATACAACTTTTAGAATATACAATCTGTAATAAACGTCAGGATGACGTTACTATTTTTACCACACGCCTGGATGGCGAGAACTAAGATAAAAGACTTTTGCCAATTCTGCAAGTATAATCAAATCACACTACGTTCAGTTAAACGTTGACTACTACTTATTTTCCATGTCCACGCGCCTGCTTGGCAACAAATTCAAAAATTCAGCTGGGCAGTTCTTTCTTTTTTTTTTTTTTTTTTTAATAAACGCCGGGATGGCTTCCACATATCAATTATCAAACATAAAAAAAATTCAATACAAATAAAAGTAAAGCATAAATAATAGTTTCAAAATACTTCTTTACCACAAATACCAATTATAAATTTAAGCTGAATTTTTTTAGCGTTAGTTATTTTAAACAAAATCTTACACGATAAATATTCTGAAACAATGAAAGAATGAAACAAACAAGAATGAAACAAAGTATTAAAATTCAATAAAAGCTTAAGAAAACCAAAAGTTTTTTTTATCTTCAGAGATTATAAATATCCTGTTCTGTCAATTCTTTCTCGGATGCAAGTTGTAGAAACACAGAAGATAACTTTTAAATGATCTGCTTCAAAAACTGGCTTTAAAACCTCAGACTTCTGAGATACGTTTCTCCTTTAAATGAACAAACTTGGCAATTGATACAAGCAAACTTGTTCTCAAAATTTCAGCAACTTCCTGGGATTCGGAGACCAGCACCATCGAAATTGATAATTGAACTCCTAATTTGCAGTATCTCGGTGGAACCTCCAATTAATTAAGACTGTAATGTATTTTTGCAGTAATTGACAAAACAGGCAATCTTCTTATTAGAACATAAATTTTAATTTCTAGTTCACGGTGATAGACAAATTTATACAATTCTTAAGTGGCAAAATTTTCATCCTACTCCTAGCTGTAAAAATCTTCAGAATACAAAATTTTTTTTTTTTTAAATATATATCTCTCGTTGCTGAGTAACGGTTTTATACAAATATGGCGTTGCCACTTCAACAATAATTATATTTATTTATTAAATAACAAGATATTACAAAGCATTAAAAAATTTTTGTTGGTGGCATTAAGGTCCAGATTTTAGATCATTCCGGATAGTGGACGTACAGATCTCGGACTTTGTATTGTACTTATTTTGCTGTATAACAATAAAAAGTTTATGTTAACAACTCAAAAATTTTTTTACATAGTTAAAAAAATTAAATGTACAAATTTAAATCTGTGTTACATTTTCACATCTTATGAATCAGAAATGTTGCTGATGCAATGAATGAAAATTGTCACCTTCCATATGTATGACAAATTTCATCTAATTTATAGGTGTGGACTGTATTATGTGCATCAATATAGCTTGTTTGCTTAGAGTTACTGTCTAGATTTGAGCTACCAAATGAGCTCTTTGAGTATATCTGCAGTTAAATATCCAAATGTCTTCAGAACACTAGCTAATAAATGCATTAAAGTTTAGTGCACTTGATGAAACATGGAATATACATAGTTTTATAAGCTGTTTTCTATGCTATGTATGTAGACTTTTTTCATTAGTGATAATTTGCTATGTTGCTTTTAAAAATTATAGTTTTGTTGAGATTTGTTGTTTTTAATGCATTTCTAACATCTTAATCTTTTTTTTTTTTTTTTTTTTTTTTTTTTTTTTCTTCTTTTTTTTGACAGGCACGCTTTTTGCAACACCTGCACAAATAAGACAGTGGACCTTGTTAAAACCAACTTCTGTCACACCTGTTTCATCTTGCTCTCACAAAGGTAAGCTAATTTCCATTTATATCGCATTCATTTAAAAAAATTCTTGTTGATGGAATTCTTTCTTGAAGGGTTGTATAATTATGCTTTTTTGAAGTGGATTTTATTTGTGTGTAGACTGGAAGGTGTATACAGAATTTATATATTCACCCAGTTTTTAGTATTATATTATTCAGAAAATTCTTCATTTATTTCAAATATATGTTATAATACTTAAAAACTTCACATAGAATTTTCTTTTTGTGTTTGTATGCATTTTAAAAAGAATCAGAATATAAATTTGTCTAGTAAAAAGATTATTGTGACAATTATATGGTTCTTTTACTGTTTAGTACCTATATTATATTTTACACACTGCAGATCTGTACTTATATTTCAGGTGGTTTTTAAATACTATAAAATTTCATCTTGTATGAAAATCGAAATAGATATTAAGCTAGTTCTGCAAAGGGTGAATTTTTAAAAATTATTACTTTCAAGTTTAAAAAAAAATTTTTTTTTAATTGGCAGCAAATATATATATACATCTTTTTAAAAAAAGAGTGCTTAAACTTATATCTACAAGGACTGATCTGAGTATTTTTTCCTGCTTTTTTCTTTTAAATACACACTGATCACTTCAAAGCAAGAAGACAAGGAAGAAAGTCCACTCACTTTAAATTATATAATTTAAAACCTGAGATAGTAACCAGTAAAGATTCATGAATTCTTCTTATCAATAGTCTCTGTTTCTGAATAATATAGAAGTTTTTAATCACAAATTGATAGTAATGTTTCAGTTATTAATGTTTGATTACATCTTTGCTTTTTAAGTCATTCATTGACAATTTTTTGTTTTCAATTATCATTGTACAGCTGTGTAATATTTTGTATTAAATGAATGAATGTTCTGTAAAGTTAATAGATTATTTCTTTGCTGTGTAAAATTTTTCTTTTAACAACATAATAATTAAATTTCTTTAATAACATAATTGTTTGATATTGCTGTATTTAGTTCATTGTAGTTTCTGTGGAATTATCTTACTGATCCAAGGATTCCATCTTCACCAGTATTATTATAGAACTATTTTGAATTATGTTATTAGTGAGAAATGACTTCCTGCAAAAACTCTGATGTGCTTTTAAAGAGCTAGGTTTATCAACAGTATTAAAGCTGAATTAAACAATATTGCAGCAGTATAGTACAGTAAACCCTTGCTAAGCACAGATGTGCAGAACATGATTTCACATATACATATTATTTTAATTGTTTCCATTTAATTTGTCCAAAGCTATAATTTTATTCATATGCCAGTTCAGTGTTCATTCATAAACATGGAATGCTTGCTGGCATCAGCTCTGGCCAGAAGTTTTCGATGATTTTAAAGGATTTCTATGGACTGAAAGGAAGCCAAAGAAATCCCACAGATTGCAAAAGCAATTGCTGATGAAGGATTTTCAGATATGGAAGAAGGTATAGTCAAAGAATTAATCAAGAAACGCCGAATGAAGAGTTGAATGATCTTATAGCACCAGCCAATAGTCAAAGCATTGGTAATAAAGAAGTTATAGTGCATTTAACTTAAGTTAAACAAATAATTAAAAAAACACAGGAACTGTCTGATTCTACTGTAGAGATTTATTCAAATGAAGAAAGATGACACTTTATGGAAGGCACTGAAAAACTCTGTGCTGTAAAACTTTTAAAGTTACATCATTGTTCCAAACAAAAATCAGCAGTTAAAAAAAATTATGTCATGTACTTAAATAGTGGTAAAAATCCTTTCAATTTACATTTGTTTAATTTTTTTCTTTTAAATACAATAATGTTTAAATTTATTTAAATTATACATACTCTCTTAATTTGAATTATATCTATCATGAATTTTTCATAGAAAGTTAACTTTGTGGAACACAGTTTTGTCTTATGCACAATGTATTAATGACATACCCCTCATTTTACAAGGGCTTACTGCATTGGAATAATAAGAAAAAACATAATTTATAATTTTGTATGTTAATCCATAGCTTTAAAATTATTTATGATTTTTTTTCCTCTCTTTCTTTATAAATATGTATATTAGGTTTGAATTTCAGTGTTTATGTATACAAAAGGGAATTTGTAAATATTTTCTTGTTTTGTTCGAATTTTAAAATTATAATTAGTATTTGTTGTGAGTACTTGTGTTTAGATTAGATTCATTCTAATTTTTAATATAGCTTTATTCTTCCAATTTTCATTCGTATGTTAAAGAAAGAACTGTATTAGCTTTTGATTTCTATTTGGTATACTCATAAAACATAGTTACAACTATTTATAAGATGATTGATTACAATATAAGTTACAGCTGTTTATATTATTTGTCAGTTTGACTTCTTTCAAAGCCTAGGGAATGCTTTGAAATAAAGTTTCTTAATGAGATGGAATCTTACAAATTATTCATGATGAAAAATTTATTATTCTTTATTTTTGTCCCTTATGATTGATTTTATTCATATTTTACTTGATTTCAATTGATTAACTTATTTAAGGAGTGTAAATTTATTTAGTATTATTTGATTTTATAACAATGCTTTATGTTATGTAACAATAAGCCTTTTCTTTATTGAAATAGCCATAATTTCAGATGAATATTTACTGGTACCAATTGATTGTTTAAGAAAATTGAAGTTTTCCCTTAGGTTTAGAAATATTGGTGTGAAAATACAGCTTCATTGAATAGGACTTTGAATATGACTATCTTAGAATTAACATATAATGCAAGAAGAGTGTATTGAAATAGAAATATAGTTTATGTAACTGCTAACTTTTCTGCTTTAACCTTGAAAATCCTGATTTTTTGCCACATTTCCCTTTAGATCACCAAACCTCCCAGTTTTTAATTTTTAGCCTTTACTAAGAAAAATATTTTCAGCAATAAATGAAGTTTTTTTTAATTAATGAAACTTATTTTGTGCAAATTTCATTCCTCCACCCTAAGAGATTTTTGGCATAATTTTTCTTATTAAATTTTATTTCATCTGAATTGTCATAATTTATGTAGATGGAACTTTATATGAAGAGTCAAATAATGTTTGATCAGTTGATATTTATGTTTAATTTTGTTTTGCATTAAAAAACGGTATATTACTAAGTTTATCCACACAATAGTGGGTACATTATATTTTCACAGTGTTCCCTGTTTAATTTGTTAAAGTACTTTGATAAATTAAAGCTTTTTTTTTTCTATACTTGGAATTTTCTTTGTATAAAAATGTAAGAAAATTATGAAATGAAATTAACCAAAGGATATAAAATTTAGAACATTTGATTACATGTTAATATATTTTACATTAGAATCATATTATAAGTAGTTGAATAACTAAGCATTATAAAATGAATTTCAGTCAATCTGATGTTCTTTCGAGATATTATCATGATGCAGCACAAAAAGCTTCTTGATACTTCCCGTTTTTCAAATTTCAAGATTGGCAACTATGAGTTTGGAAAGCAGAAATTTATTCTTAGGGGGGAGGAAGGAAGAAAAAAGGGGAACTTGTAGTTTTTCTTTCTTTTAAAACAAAAGTCTGAGGTAAATAATGTATCTACCATTGCAGTGAATGAGTTTTTAAAATTTCCCTGTTCTTGTGGACTTATTCCATTACACTGGAAAAACAGGGAATTTATTTGTTTGATGGCTTATTAAGAACAAGCTTGCGATTTTTAATTGCTTGATTAACAAGTTTTATGAAAAGTTATTTACTTCTGTGAATAAAACAAAGAATTATTTTGAAAATAATGGATTTTGCATGCAGTTTCTTGTACGTTCTGACAACCTGCATACCTTTGCCATAAATGGTGAACTTATTGCCAACAACTGCTTTGCCAAGCTAATGTGTGAAAGGCAACTATAGTTTTCATAATGGTGTCATGCTAAGAATTCCATACAAAAGCAGTCAATCAATAGCTAGAAACACCAGTAATAAAACATTTACCTTTTACAAGAAATCTTTTTTGCACTGTTGTTTTCTCTGTGCGCACAGCAATCTGTTTTTGCTTAAAAGTACATTAAAAAATTACACAAACTCACCTCCATACAAATTCTTCTTTGCATCAAAAGACACATGTGCTAGGCTCATGCCTTGTCACATAAATACCTTTTGGTGATACCATGGGTTGTCACATAACTGTTTTGATGACAAATTGCTTTTGCCTTGTGAATAATTTTTCATGATTTTCCAGTGGGGGCTGCAGATTAGCAGGAAGTACTGAAATTCTTATCATCATAGATTTTTTTAAGGAAATTTGTTTGCCCCTTTTTTGTCTGAATTTTATGATCTGTGTATGCAGCAACTGTTTTATAATTCATATTTCCTTATTTACTATGAATTCAAATTTTCAATCTTCCATGTCAAAGAGCATGAGGAATAGAGATTTATTCTAATTATCCATTAATAAATGCCTGCAAATTTAGACCTGTTGGCATATTAGTTTAAATCCTTTACATTTTATTACATCATGTCTGCTTGCAGTGACTTAAAATATGAATAAAATGTGATCCTTTATTACCATAAATACTTTCTGAGTATTATGCAATGAGTATTATGCAATGAGGTATTATGCAATGAGGTATTATGCTTGAGTATTATGCAATGAGGAAAGTATAGAGATTTCTATTATAAAAATGCCTGTTAATTCCTCAGTATGATAATAAGATGGGATCTATAACAAGATCTGAATATGCAATATAAACACAATTTTTCAAAAACTATATATTTTTATATTTCATTCCATTTCATTTTGTCTCATAGTATACCTCAATAAGAAGATCATATGAAGACCCATTATGGTTTTCATATGATGTATTATGTTTAATTTAAACATTTAGTATGAGAGTTTTTTTCGTCTTCTTAAAATGGAAATTTTTACTATAATGATAAAAAAGTAATTTCTTGTAACAATATCACTGTCATGCTTGTTGGGAGGGCAGAGATGTGACACAATATCTTATTGGAAAATGAATCCTTTATTATATAGAAGCACG